GTCGTTCTTCACACGGCCATCGCAGAGCAGATTGTGAATGAGCTTGCCAGCGGCGAGGGCGGTCGAGTGCACGGAGCTAAGTGCCTCGCCGTCCTCGCGGGAGTCGCTTAGGCGGCTCCAGTCCCGTGCCCAGTGTTGTGCGAGGGGTTGTTGTAAAATTCTTTTTTGCTTGCTTCCGAGTGCTCTGACGGCGCTTCACCGTCTCTCTCAGCCCACTCAGATGGACGTCCCGCGCCCAGCCTACGTCCCCTTCGCTCTCTCGGACGAGCAGTACGCCGCCATCCTGCGCGCGCCCGAGGCGCACCGCCGGTACGGCGTCCTTTCGCAGGCTCCGCCGGGCGCCTCGTCGTTTGGCACGCTCTACCTCCTCCGGCAGCAGGCGCCGGAGGAGGGCGCGCGGCCGGCGGCGCGAGCCGCGGCGAGCACCCGGCTGCTCTCCGATGGCGTCACCACGCTCGCGCGTCGCGCGCCTTCCAAGCAAGGCGCCGGGAGCGCCGCCTCCATTGCGGCGCGGCCGGTGCGCGCCTTCTCCCTCTTTGTGCGCGCGCAGTCCGAGTCGCTCAAGCGCACGCAGCCCGACCAGGGCGCTGCCGCCGTCCGCAAGGCGGTGGAGGCGAGCTGGCAGTCCCTCTCCGATGCCCAGCGAGCGGTCTACGTGCAGGCCGCGCGCGAGCACAATGCCGGCATCCGCAAGAGGCAGGTCTTGGCGCCACCGAGCCAGCTGTGCACGCGGCACGAGCTCTGGCTCGAGGGCGGCGCCGCCAGCCCATTCTCCTCGTTGCTCCCCTCCTCCTCCTCCGCGCCGCCGCCGCGCCCCCAGCTCGTCCTCGTGCACGTGCTCGGCGAGCCCGCGATGCAGACCCTCACCGCGCCGCCAGTGGCAGTGCAGACCGCGGGCGCGCCAGCGCCGGCAGACGTGAGGACGATGCAGCTCCGCCTCGCGTGGCAGCCGGACCCGAGCATGATGGCCGCCGCCGCGCGGGCGCCCCAGATGATGGGCGCACAGCCGCGGACCGTGCAGACCGCGATTGTGCCTCCCGGCGGGCTGAGCGCGGCGGCGGCACTGCCCGCCTCGGCCGTGCTCCCCGGGGGCTGCCTTGCTCCACCGCCGCCCCTCGCCGTCGTGGAGCCCGCCCCTCACCCATCCGCGCCGCCGACTCCTTCTCGCCGCCCCCCTCTGCCGCCCCGGCAGTCGCCCCGTCCCGGTTCGTCGCTGGCGCCGCCAGCTCAAGCCGGCAACACGACCACGGAGCAGGGGGGCAGCGAGAAGTTTGATGTTGCTTACGCGATTGCCGACTGAGCGCTGTGTCCAATTCGAACTCGGCGTCCGATCTCGATGATCAGCATTCCGCTTGCGAGAGAGAGAGAGCGGGTCGCATCACAAACCGCTTCCACGGCCGTTCGATTCATGGGATGGCTGGCAGCATCATCCGACTTGGGCAAAAGCAGGGGAGGGAGAGGGGGCGGAGTGAAGACGGCCGCTGGCTACACCGGCGCGAATGCAACGAGGGCAGCGGGCCACAGCACAGGCTGCTTCATATGTGAGAGGGAAGAGCCAGAAGCCGTCTTCATTTGACCTGCGAGTCTCCGACTTCAAGAAGATTCCCGGCTTCAACTATGTGCTGTGTACGTGTCGACAGAGGACGAGCACACGTACAACTCACATGAGGTAGGTTGATGTTATTACACAGTAGTCGAACTTGAGGGCAAAAAAGAGAATATATATTTCCCCCTCTGATGGTCCTGTGCCGCCGGCGCGCGCCGCCGCCGGCCTGCGGTGCAAAAGCCTGTCTTGAGATTCTGCGCAGCGGCGGGTAACGCCAGCCAGCGCGGTGGTCTCTGGGCGCGACGCGCGAGAACCAGCGCTATTCAGCGTCGCGCAGGCCGGAGGCTGCCGGGTAGACAAGGCGATGCGGGCGCGCGACAAGCTGCCAGTAGAGGCTCGCTGCTGTGAAGAGGATGGCGCTGCTCGCCCTCTCAGAGACGGCATCAAAAAGACCACCAGCTTGGACATTTCACCCTTGCGGAATCTTACAAGGGACGGACGCACGCGCTCCCCACTGCAGCCTGCGCTGCGCGCGCGCAGCGGCGGCAGCTGCAGCTGCGGCACGTGCCGCCGCGCGGAGAGTCGAGACATGGCTCCCGATCTCCCAGCCCACCTCGCTCTCTTCTCCCTCTACCAAGCCTGTGCCACGCCCTCCTGCGGCTGCAGATCTGCGGCGACATCCACGGCCAGTTCTACGATCTGAAGGAGCTCTTCAAGGTGGGCGGCGACGTGCCTGACGCCAACTACCTCTTCATGGGCGACTTTGTCGACCGCGGCTTCTACTCGGTCGAGACCTTCCTGCTGCTGCTTGCGCTCAAGGCTCGCCGCGCCCGCGCCGCTTCCGAGACGCTTCCGAGACGCTTCCTCGACACTGCAGGGAGGAGCGCCGCGTCTGGAGCGGGAGGGCCCGAGGGGCTTGGCGGCCGCGCGGGCGGTCCCGGAGCGCTCGCGAGCGACAGCGCCGCTCGAACGCTTGGCACACTTCTTCGCGCGCCCACCTGCACCGCCGCCGCCCAGACACCCAGACACGCGCAAGGACGCGTGCAAGGACGCGTGCAAGACACGGCGAGACACGTCCAGCGCGGGAGCCAGTGCTGGCGGAGTGTGGCGGGCCGGGCCCAGCACGCGCGTCTTGCGTCGCAGGTGCGGTATCCGGACCGCATCACGTTGATCCGAGGCAACCACGAGTCGAGGCAGATCACGCAGGTGTACGGCTTTTATGACGAGTGCTTGCGCAAGTACGGCTCGGTCAACGTCTGGCGGTACTGCACGGAGATCTTCGACTACCTGTCGCTCTCGTCGCTGATCGAGGACAAGATCTTCTGCGTGCACGGCGGCCTCTCCCCCTCCATCAACACCCTCGACCAGATCCGCGTCATCGACCGGAAGCAGGCAGAGGGACACTTCCAAGACACCTCCAAGACACCTCCAAGACACCTCCAAGACACCTCCGGGACACCCTCAAGACACCTCCCCGAGAGCGTCCCTCGAGTCACCAAGACCATATGCCGACACACCCCAACCTCCGCCCTTGCTACCGCCCTCTACGCCGCCCTCGCCACTGCCCTCCCCGCCACCCTCCCCACTGCCCTCACCTCCACGCCGCCATATCTCCCCATATCTCCCCACGAGCAGGAGGTCCCTCACGACGGCGCGATGTGCGACCTGATGTGGTCCGACCCGGAGGACATCGACGGGTGGGGGCTGTCTCCGCGAGGCGCGACGCCTACCTCTCCGGCGGCGCCTGTCCAGGACACGTCCAGGACACGTGCAGGACACGCCCCATATAGGCGCGGGCTACCTCTTTGGCGGCGACGTGGTCGCCCAGTTCAGCTCGACCAACTCGATCGACCTGATCGCGCGCGCGCACCAGTTGGTGAGAGAGGGGCACACACACACACGCTCGACGGCACGCTCTCTCGGGCTGCACCTCGGCTGCACGTCGGCTACAGGTGATGGAGGGGTACAAGCACATGTTCAACGACACGCTGGTGACCGTCTGGTCGGCGCCAAACTACTGCTACCGCTGCGGCAACGTCGCCGCCATCCTCGAGCTGGACGAGCACCTCAACAAGAACTTCAAAATCTTCGAGGCGGCGCCGCAGGACCAGCGCGGCGTCCCCGCGAAGAAGCCGGCGCCAGACTACTTTCTGTGATCCCAGCGAGGGGAGAGGGGGTCCGCCCCCCCCTCCCACCTTCCTGGGTCCCGCGTGTCGAGTAGTGCATGGCGGCGGCGGCGGCGGGCGCCCGTGTGGAGAGCATTGTGTGAGACTCACTGGGAGACTGGGGGCGCAGTCCGCCGCCCGCCCCGCCCGTCTCCGTGACTGCATCCCCCGACGCCCGATTTCGCGCCCATTATTGTACGTTGAACGCGTTATTGCGCGCAGGCATGAAAGAAACCGACGTCCGGCTCAGCGCGGCTCGCGCGCGGGCGGGCACTTGGAGCGGGGCGGATTTGTTTTTGCCGATGGCCTCCCACCGCATCGGCGCCCGCCTCTCGGGCCTCAATCCGGAGCAGCTGCTCGCAATCATCAAGGAGCAGGGTCCCTCACGCTCGCAGCTGTGCGCCATCATCGAGGCGCAGGCGGGCGCGAGCGACGCCGCGCTGCGCGTGGCTGAGGAGCACGCCGCTCGGCTCGTGGAGCAGCCCGAGTGGGTGCTCTCCGAGGTCCTCCTCTCGCCGGACCTCGCCCCGCACATCCTCGCCCAGCTGCCGACCAAGGCGCACGCCGTCAAGGGGACGTGCCGCGCGTGGCGCCGCGGCTGGAAGGAGACGCTGAAGAAGCGCGAGAGGCCGCGCATGCTCGTGATCGGCGGCCACGGCAGCGAGGGTGGGACTGTCAACTCGCTGGAGCGGTACGACCCGTCCACAAATGAGTGGGAGGGGGAGGCTGTGGCGCCTTTGCCGACGGCACGCACGAGAGCAGGCATGACGGTGCTCGACGGCAAGCTCTACGCGGTTGGCGGTTTCGGGCCTGACAGCGCAACTTCCAACCTGGTGGAGCGGTACGACCTTGCGACGAACGCGTGGGAGGCAGTGGCGCCGATGGTGACACCACGCGAGACCCACGCCGTGGCGGTGCTCGACGGCAAGCTGTACGCTGTGGGAGGCTTCAACGAAGACGACGACTACCTCAGCTCGGTGGAGCGGTACGACCCGGCCTTGGACGCGTGGGAGGCGGTGGTGCCAATGGCGGCGGAGCGGGACTATCACGCCGTGGCGGTGCTCGACGGCAAGCTTTACGCTGTGGGCGGGTACGGCCTCAGCTCGGTGGAGCGGTACGACCCGGCGGCGAACGCGTGGGAGGAGGTGGCGCCGATGGCGGAGGAGCGGTATGATCACGCTGTGGCGGTGCTCGATGGCAAGCTGTACGCTGTGGGCGGCTACAACGACGGCGGCACCCTCAGCTCGGTGGAGCGGTACGACCCGGCGCATGCGTGGGAGGCGGTGGCGCCGATGGCGACGGCGCGGAGCCGTCTCGCCGTGGCCGTGCTCGACGGCAAGCTGTACGTTATGGGCGGCAACGGCGAGAACGAGGCCCTCTGCTCGCTTGAGCGATACGATCCCGTGACGAACGCGTGGGAGGCGGCTGCGCCGTTGACGACCGCACGGTGTTTTCATGCCATCACCGTGGCGTAGGGTTTTGGAGGGTGGGGGGGGAGAGGCAATTAAGGCTGTGTCGCGCTGCAGCTCGCGGCGGTGGATGAGATCAAGACATGAGATCGCGACCGAGTCCGGCTCGCCACGGCGCTGGGGAGGACGCCGCCGTCGCCTAGACTCCCTTGCGTTACTACGTGTTTGTAAAGCCGTAGCCTGGCGTTTGTGCCCCGTCGTGCCCCCCGTCCTGTGCCCCCAGAAGTTCATTTTTACGGCAACGACGCCAACGTCCTCTGTACCTGAAGGCTGAACTTTGAAGCTGTGCCGGTGCGCCCAATCCCAAAACGCACAAAAGCGTGCGCGGCTGCATTTCCTTTTGGGACGCCGAAACCAATTTCATATGAATTTACGGCGCATCAGGGGGAGGGCTTGTCCCACTGCCGCTCCTGCTGCCCGCGCCGCCCCGACCGCCCCGCACCCGCCTCGCCCTCAGTAGCCCAGCTCCTTGACCAGCGCCGCATACGAGTCCTCCTCCTCGGGCTCCGGCGCCGCCCGCGCCGCCCTCTCCCCCGGCTGCCGCTCGCCGGCCCGTGGCGGGTCGAGGCCGAAGAGCAGCAGAAGCCGCGCCTGCGCCGGCCTCACCGCCGCCTCGAGGTCGGCGAGCCACGCCGTCTCCGTCAGCAGACGCTCAACCTCGACCAGCCTCGCCTCGCCCCCGCCGTTCCCGGCGCCGTCGCCCCCGACCCCACCGCCCCCGCCCCCGCCGCCGCCGCCGCCGCCGCCGACGCCGCCGCCCTCCCCGCCCTCGCCGCCCAGTCCCTCGGCAGCCTCGCCGCCCTCGAGCGGGTCGCCGTAGGTCAGGAAGTGCACGTAGAGCGCGTCCGCCGCCGCCTTGCGAACCTTTGGGTAGCGGTGGCCGAGCAGCAGCAAGACCGCACGCAGCAGCGCTCGGAGGAAGGGCCCGGCGGCGCTTGGCAGCAGCAGCACCTGCCCGCCGAGCGAGGTCACGGGGAGATGTGGGGAGATGTGGGGAGATGTGGGGAGATGCGGGGAGAGATGCGGCACCTGCCGGCCGAGCGAGACGCGCCGGCGGGTGGAGGGGGAAGGG